TACGCTGCCATCGACGATCTTCCTAATATTTCTAGGTGAAAGTTGCTCTGTAAAATGTAAATATTGCTGATGGTTACTTAAGAACTTCGGTGAAGTTATTTTTCGGAACTGTCTGTGCTGAGCACACACACACACACACACACACACACACACACACACACACACACACACACACACACACACACACACACACACACACACACACATATATATATATATATATATATATATATATATATATATATATATATATATATATATATATACATATATACAGGAGAGAGAGGGAGAGAGATTTCCAGGAGCTTCCTCGAAGCATCAGGACTAATCCCTGAAACCTGAAAAGGAATCCAAGACCTTTCACGGTGTGCAAAATACTGGCCATGAGGTAGAAGGTTTGACAGCCAGTAACTACCCAGAGCGGTTGTAAATAGTCTGGTGATTCTGGCAAACTGTGGGAAAGGAAACTTCCGTATAGTTCAGGGAATTAAGGAAACGTTTCGCCACGAGTCTTTTTATCGGTCCTCATTGACTATAAGGACTGATGAAGCCACTCGTGGCGAAATGTTTCCTTTAATAAATGTCCTAAACTATACACAAGTATATTTTTCCACACTCAGAGAGGGACTACTAATGTGTATGGGAAGTGCCTTTAAACCTCTCTCAATCTGGTAATTTCTCTGTCATGATCATGCAAGATAGCAAATATATCTTACTCACGTCTTTTACACACAGTAAACTATTATCATTATTTTCCTGTTTTCTTTTTCAAATATTTCTCATTCCTGCACTATTTTCTTTCTGAGTTAAGAGGTCTGGTCAGAGACCGAGCAAAGTAACTTATTTCTGATATTTAAAGTAATAATTAATTACATAGAAAGAGGATTATTCTCCTGCATCCTGTTAGGCTTTATGACATTATTTATTCCTAAAATAAGGTACATCAGGAGCTTAGTGTTATTCTATACGATGCTTACATTAAGGGAACAGAAGTTAGCTATATTTCTCCTTTGCGTTCCATCGCACAGCGTGAGTTGCTTGCACTAGACGAACTCTTTCCACCTCGTATTACCTGTGGAAAGAGGATGAGGAGATAAACGCAAACACACACACACACACACACACACACACACACACACACAAGTGCGTGAGCGTGTTAGGTAGGAGCGAGTGGAGACAAATGGTTTTTATAATCTGACGTGCTGTTGGAGTGTGAGAAAAGTAACATTCATGAAGGGATTCAGGGAAATCGGTTAGCCGGACCTGAGTCCTGGAGGTGGTAAGTACAATGCGTGCGCTCTGAAGGACGGGTGTTGATATGTTGCAGTTTTTTTGAGCATAGTGTAGGCACGCCTCTGGCAAGACAGTGATTGAGTGAATGATGATGATGATGATGGAAGTGTTTCTTCTTCTTTCGGGTTACCCTGCCTTGGTGGGATACGGGCGATGTGTTAATAAGACATATATATACATATATATATATATATATATATATATATATATATATATATATATATATATATATATATATATATATATATATATATATATATATATAATATATATATATATATATATATAATATATATATATATATATATATATATAATATATATATATATATATAATATATATATATATATATAATATATATATATCCCTCTCACCGTGCAGGTGATCATTGAGTCTCAGGTCAGCGCTGATCACTAGATCGCAACGATGCATGGCCACTGTCAGCTGCCTCTATCTTTCCCCAGAAAACGAAAAAATGCAGATTTGATGCAGTGTTGGTGTAACAGAGGTGAATTTGTTATTTCCTCCCGCTGGCGGGTACAAAGGTGCTCCTTAAATAGAGTCGCCCGATGATGGGGTTTAGACAGCAAGGAATGAGAGATGATGTTGAAGTTATCGATCGTCGGCCAGAGTTTGTTGAATGTTGGGCCGAGTTGTTGGCCATAACAGTGTTGGAGTGGAGGATAAGTTTGCACTGCTAACCGAAGAAAAAAAGGTAAAAGATGGGGAGTGGGTGGACTGCATCTTTCTAAACTTCAAGAAAGCATTTGACAAGGTTCCCCACAATACTTATCTACAAACTACAACAGCGAAATAAAAGGAAGGAGAGAGAAGTGTCTCCACTAGACGTAGGAATACCCGAAAGATATAAGGTAGAGTGACATACTTTGTAGTGGAATAATACACACTGCCATCTTATTGTTCAACTTTTATACTATAATAACATTATACTTTCATATACTTACTGTGATTTGCAGAAACTGTTTGGGATATTTTTGAGTGTAGAGTGGTAGTGACTCGCCTCTCCTTCCGCTAAAACGTGGACAGATGAATTTAACCCTCGAGCATAGTACCAATGCATACGAACATCAGAATGGAGAAGCACTACAGTGGGCCTACTGCTAGGCAAGTTCAACTCACACCCACTCACTACTACTCAGAGCCATGCAGCGTAATCTAAATGAGGCCTTACCAAGGTTATATAAAGCTGAAAAATAAGCTGAGGACTCCTGTTCTTTATACTTGTTGATATAAAGCCAAGAATTCAAGTAGTTTTTTGTGAACACTTATGTACTGTTGCTAAATTGCTGTTAACCAGAACTCATAAATCTTTTTCGAATTGAGGATGAACAAGATCTACATAAAATAAGTTTATAAGTGCCATGGTTGTTCTCTTTTTCCAGTCTTTGAATCTTTCATTTACTTACATTAAAGTGCATCTGCCAGTTCTCTGATCAGTGCATTAACTTATTCAGATCTTCCTGTAAAGTTCTAGTGTCCATATCAGAAATAATCTGACGACGGACTATTTTAATATCATCGGCAAATTTGATTATGTCACTATTTATTCCCTCATCTAGATGGTTTATGAATACTGTGAGAAACAAGACCCAACACTGACCCTTGTGGAACACCGCTTACGACGCGTCCCCACTCATATATCTCCCCATTTATGCAGACTTTCTGTTGCTTACCTGTCAACTACTCCTCGAACCAGGAGGCGTGGGTGACAGGTAGGTAAGCAGTTACCTCAACTTTCCTCAACAATCTCCTGTATGGAACTCTGCCAAAATCCTTGCTGAATTCCATATACACAATATCATATTCATTACCACGATCTACTGCCTCCGATACCTAAGTGAAAAAGAAATTAATAAATTTGTAAGGCAGGAATGCCCTTTTGTAAAACCCTGCTGATATTCACTAATGAATTTATATTTTTCAAGGTGGCTTCGAATAGCCTCGGCAATTACTGATTCCATCAATTTTTCCACAATGGAAGTTAGGCTAATTAAGCTATAATTTGAAACTATCGACGTATCTCCTACATTGTAGACAGGTATTGCATTTACCATTTTCCATTTATTCGATACTACGCCAATTGGTAGTGACATATTGGAAAGACTAGTTAATAGTTTTTTAAGTTCCTCTTAACATTCCTTTATAACCATTGAGAAAGATTTATTAGGGCCCTGTGATTTGTTACTCGAGAGTAATAGGTTGGGGTCCTTCAACGACCATCACTACGGCCACTGCTGTTAAGAACGCGTCTATTGTGAACTGAAACCGGGAAGCAGAAAGGAAGCCAACAGAAAGACTGAGACAAGTTGTTACCAAACACCTATGTCAATCGTACAAAGAACACCAGAGACGAAGTAAAGACTGGAAAAGAGAAGGTAAAACCATACATAACATATATCCTAAGGAGCACATTGACCGTTCACTTTCAACAGTTTCTGTGAGAGTTATAGTCTCATAACAGTATTCAGGAGCCTCGATAAAAAGATGTTAAACACTCCCCCTCCCCGACCACCACAGCCTAACAACAAGAAGCATCGACATTGTGCTCCCACCTTACTAAACATGTTTACAAATTTTAAAAAAGAGTAAAAATTAATAATGACAAGCCTCATGAGCCGAGGAAAGACTACAAGATCAACATTAACTCTTGCAAGACAAGGTATAAAAATACACGAATACCAAAACAAGGAAGCTACTTGCAAGATAATTATCTTAACAAGCAGGAACACGTAGCAATATTTCCACGGACACTAGAGGACATTAGAGCTGCAGCAAGACATGATACAAGAAGATCAGATCAGTGTTAACTTGAGCGGGCCCAAGAGCTATATCTAATACCAGCATATTTAGAGGTAATTGTAAATAGGTAATCACATACTAGGCTTTGTAAACAAAAATCCATAATTCTGCCTTTTGATACAGAAACATGAAAGTCATAAACAAGTGATCCCAAGATGCTTCTGATGTTTGTGTATGCCAATACTACTCCTCTATATATTACTCAGAAGAGGCACATGCAGCGCTGGGATATACCTGAGATGTATCATGATTATTTTATCTTGCACGAGAGCCGACGAAGGTCGAAGGTCAGTGAGGAGTCGATGATAAAGTAATCTATCAAAAGATTCCCGGAACACGTCGAGACAGGAGAAAGAGGAGGAAGAAGTGGAAGAGACTAAGGGCAAGGATGTAAAGGAACAGGAGTAGAAAGAAGGCAGGAGGAGGGAGAGAAGTTAAAGGTGTAATAAAAGGAGAGCAGGAGGAGAAAGAAGAGAAGCTAAAGGAGATAAAGGAGAAGTAGGAAGAATTAGAGATGCAGGAGGAGAAACTAAATGAACAAAAGAAGAAACTGGTGTAGCACGAATAGGAAGAGGAGGAGTTAGATGGGCAATAGGACGAACAGGAGTAGGATGAGAAACTAAATGAGTAGAAGGAGGAAGAGGAGAAGGAACGGGAGCTGGAGCTATGTCAGCAGGAAGCCAAGGAGGCGGCGTTTGAACTGCTTCCCAAAAACTCTGTAACTCAGTTCTTTATTGACTCGATAAAAATAAATTAGTTTAATTCGTACTAAAACCGAAAATGTTTATTTTGCGCTGGTGTGTAAACGACCTCTTGACACATTAAAAATTGGTCATTTCCATAATTTGCATTTTATAGCTGTTTTTCGTCTCCTGCGCTGCCGAAATTATGTGAGTATATTTCAGCAATTACATTACCAGCCACTGAGAGCTGAGCAGAGAGAGAGAACTCACAGAGGCTGTAAGGTTATACACTCGTCTGTAGGTTCCTGTAATCCTACTTGTATGCAGGAGGCTCGTACTGTCGCTGTAAGACACTTGAAATTTTACCTCTATCGGAAAGGTTGTTGAACTCACCTGTTGTTGCAAGGTTAGCGAAATCACCTGTCGTGGCAGGATTCTTGAACTCCCACCTGTAAAGGTATGGTTCTTGTACTCCCACCTGGCTCTTGGAGTCTAACCTGTCGTGAGAGTGTCAAAGACTCCCGGGACGAGAAATAAAGGCAGTTGAAGCCCCCGGGAAGACAATCACAACAGCGAGAACAGAATTGTGTTAAAAATTAACCAATGTGAGAAGTACAGACTGACGAGATGGACCCAGGCAAGATCTTCCAGATCATCACCAACAGCACTCTTCTGGGTGAGTACCCGAGATCTTGATACAGTTCACAGATTGTTCTCCCATTCTTTAGTTTCACAGCTCTCTTCTGCTGTTAGGGAAAACCTAGCTTAGGCAATGATGCTAATGAATACCAAACACAGAAACTGTTATGTAAATATCCTCAGTAACATGCTCTAAGAATTGCGAGGATAGTATTAGGTAAGGCTTAAGAAATAAGCCCACACAGGATATATACAGGGTGAGGTTTATTTCTCTCTGCATATATATACTGAGAGCTTATTTTAATCCCGATTTTCGGGATTAAAGTAATCTCGTCTTGTGGTGAAGATGTTACGTGCAGCCTTAATGACCCTCGTGCAGTCGATATGGCTTTAAACCCCATTAACCAATATGCCCTAAATAACACCTATTTCTTATTTAGGAAGAGTGAAAAGAAAAGGACTGATAGGTATCTGAATGCGTTTATTTTGTTTGCATACTATGAAAATAAGAATATCCGTATCCCTACACATGACTCCGTCCAAAGAATATCAGACGGAAATCAAAATATGAAAAGAATTGTCAGTTGCAATTGGAAGATAATATTATTTAGAAAAGATTTGTGTTCTCACACGATACATAAGCGTGCAATGTTGTTAAAATATACAAGAACTATTAAAAACAATTACACAAATATTAGAAAAGCTGTCAGTCTGGGATAAAATTTTCTAATTAGTGTTATATTATAAGACTCTGCAGTACTGGATATGTACATCACACACACACACACACACACACACACACACACACACACACACACACACATACACACACCCACACACACACACACACACACACACACACACACACACACACACACACACACACACACACACACACACACACACACACACACACACACACACACACACACACACACACACACACACACACACACACACACACACACACACACACACACACACACACACACACACACACACATGATTATTTTACAGGTCAATTATTTCTGCATAAAATGTTAGTCCAGTAAATTACTCAACAAATCAACATTTTTTTTATTCTCCGTTAGCTTTAGCTGTGTTGTACATTAGTTCCAAAACATTCATGTGGTTATGAAAATTCTCTATTTTGAAGCTTCAAAAAGTAAATATTTATTCATATCTTCCAATCAGAAGAGATTTTTTTTATTTCAGATATTTAATACACGTTGAAAATATTAAATAAAGGCAAATTATTCTATCAGCAACTTTCATCAAAAAATCGGTCGGAAATTAACATAAAAATTATTAATTAAAGTTTAATTATTAAACGAGTCTCTGAAGTCCTTCGTATAGTAAAGTCTCGGGACTCCTCGCACCTAATTTCATTACTCCTCCCTCAAGAACCCAGCTCACCCAAAAACCTAATTTTCATTTTATATTGGAGAAAGGCGGTATGTTTACGAAATATTAAGACCTTGTTGGTCTTAAGATCCGGAGTTATCTTAAGGCAGGCTGGGAAGACCCTGGATACTTGCCGTGGGTAATAGCATTACAAGGCCTGGTCTCAGACCGGGTTGCAGGGGGCGTTGACCCCAGAAACCATCTCCAGGTATCCGCAGGTATTACGTAGTAAGAGTCGGCTAGTCATGGTTATTAACATTTAGTAATAGATACAACTAGACACAATATTCATCTGTTAAATAAAATTAGAGAGAGAAACATAAGAAGCAAAATGTCAGTGAAAGAGGGAGTTACAAGGAAGGAATGCATGGAAAAGAGGAAGAAGACTAAGAAAAGGAGACCCTAGGGTGACCCCTGACACCCCTCAAGTGCCACACCATGAGTGTGTGTGTGCCATCATCACAATACAAGTGCCACATCCTTGGCTCTCTCGGGAAATTAACCAACTTGACGCCTTCAGCCAAAAATTCTCAACATTTGATTTTATTTCGTCGAAAATATTAAAGACGTGAGATTTTCCATTAGTTCAGAGGAAACTAATGAAGAAATAATCATCTCGGGAGAGGTTGTCTGCTGATCAATATTCAACAGTGAATATACATACACAATATATATATATATATAATATATATATATATATATATATATATATATATATATATATATATATATATTATATATATATATATATATATATATATAATATATATATATATATATATTATATATATATATATATGTCGTGCCGAATATGTAAAACTAGTCAATTAGCAAGAACTCACTTAAAATTAAGTCCTTTCTAAAATTTTCTCTAATACGTTTAAAGATATATTTTTTTCATTAATGTTAATGTAAAAAATTTTAATTTTGCTCCAAAAGAATCTTAGAAAACTTACCTAACCTTATTATAACAAGAGCAATTTATTTTAGCCTAATCCAATTAAATATATTTTAGATTTGTTTACAATAATTTAATACTAAACAAACACAACGAAATATATTTTTTTCGTTAGGTTCAGAATGGTTTTGGCGAAATTATTGCATACACAAATTTTCACTTGTGCTATATGGCAAGATGAACGTTGCTATTTAAGCCAAAATCGCAAGTTCTGCCTATTCGGCACGACATATATATATATATATATATATATATTATATTATATATATATAATTATATATATATATATATATATATAGTCACTGACAATTAGGTCAGAAAGAGAAAACGAGAACTTTATAATCTTTATTAACGTTCATGACATAAAATACAGTAATATTAGTATTGACATCTCTTGCTCCTCTGTACTACAATAAAAACTGACACGATTTATCAAGTATAAATCAGAGCAAATGTGGCCGCTTCATTTATTTGACTTGTTATAAAGTTAGAGGCAACTAAGATGCCCAAATGACGTGTTCTGGTGTGAGCTTCGAACATGATGAACACGAGATTGTGTTGAGACAGATTACTGTGAAAAGCACTTGTGTCGAATGTACAAACACACACACACACACACACACACACACCACACACACACACACACACACACTCACACACACACATTGTTTCCCACAAGCTCGACCATCATGCTGGCGCAACACAGTCATTTGTGCACACAACACTGCGTTTAGAAGTACAAATGTCTGTGTTTTCCAAAGGAAAGGGACGAGGAAGAGGTAAAAAATGAAGACCCAGAGGAAAAGGAAGATGAGAGAAGAGGCGACGGAGGACATGGAGGAGCAGGTGGACGTAGAAACCAGGTCCTTGAACCACAACTGACTACGTTAAGACACGTGAAGCTGCAAGGACACATACAATTGTCCTCATTCATGAGAAGAAACATGCAAACCATGGACTGTAGGAGCGCAATGCGGACTGCACAGTCATCGTTGGCTGCACAGTCACCGTTGACTGCAAAGTCATCGTAAACTGCACAGTCGTTGTAGGCTGCACATTTCAGCAGCATTAAGCAGCGCTGGAGGGAGTGACATGCTCAAAGGGACGGGGTGGGTGAAGGGTAAGCGAGTGGTACACAGAGTGATGAGTAATTACTAAAAAGTTACGTATTTGTACTTACAAGAACAGAGCTCTGCTGGTGGTGTCCCGTTCCAGGAGTTTCTCTGTCTTAATGGGGCGAGACTGGAGTTGAGAGACAGAGGAAGACTGGGAGAGACGAATGAATCCTCTGTGACTGAAAGAGGATACGAGAGACGAGAGGACGGCGCGAGGGATGGGAGACAGAGAGAGAGAGAGAGAAGAGAGAGAGAGAGAGAGAGAGAGAGATAGAGAGAGAGGAAGGAATGTTGGGAGACAGGGAACGGATGGACGTTACACTCGGAGGAGGAAGCCTAGGAGTGAGAGACGGGTTGATAATAGCAGGTTTCCTGCGGGAGGCGCCGCAGGGGTGTTGGTAATGGGTGGCAGTCTTCGGGGAAAGACTTGCGGCAGTACGCCCCAAGAAACACTCTCTCAGTTTTCCAAGTATTTTTCTTCTTGACGATTCAGAAATGTGTGTGTTTTCGAGAACAATACACACTCACATGGCTACTGACGCTGCTGCAATACTGACGCTGCTGCAATACTGACGCTGCTGCAATACTGATGCTGCAAGATACTTTTTACACTACGTCAACTCTTGCGTATTTACTGATGCTTGAATACCTTTGCAGAAAGAAATGTGTATGTTGGGTAAACTGTTGCATATATATTGCTAGCGCTCGACTACCTTTGTTAGTCTGCAGGATACATATTGCTAGCACTGGACTACCTGTGTTAGAGTCTGCAGGATACATATCAAGGAGATCGGTTAATTATTTGTTTTAATATTTTTTTTCTTTTGGGGGGGCCGAGAGAGGAATGAACGAAAATTGAATTTGAAAGTTATAAGAGTTTCCTCTCTTATTGTGTAATATGTGAGGGAGGGATACCTGACTCTGTAGAGCTAGGGATATCTAGACATACTCAGGAACCTTCTCTGATGATTGATGTGACAAAAAAATGGTTCTGAAGACTGGGGCTACGGAAGAACCCCTACTAGAGACAGGAACAACATCATAATCGGTTCTGGAGAGTGAAGTTTCAAAGGAACCGCCTTTACATACGGTAGAAAGCCAAACACCGGTTCTGGAGATTAGCTTAGTTATGATGTCGTTATCTGCCCCAGAGAAAATAATAAATTATCTCTAGCGTTCACGCTAGATAAGAAATAAGGAACAGGAGTAATTCCTGTTGTTGTTCTTGTTGTGTTTATGGGAAAACGCCAGACCCAAAGGGATAAAGTCAGTTGTCAACATCTCGATGGGGGTCATACGTGGACTGAAGGGTGGGATGGAATTTGGTTTCGTACCGAGGCGGGTGAACGTAACTGCAGCTCCTTGGATGAAGTAGGGAGGTACACGTGTAGGAAGGGATGAGAGGGATAAGTGTATTATCCTCACCAGTGGATGTGAATGGCGTTCTGATTGTCAGCCCCAGAGTGTTGAGTGCAGTTGTCTGTGAATAAAATTTTAACTCTGTCTGCAGTAAAGTGAAGTTGCTCTCTCCGTCTGTCGGGATGGTCCTACACTTTCCTC